CTACTACTACTATTATTATTATTATTACTTGCATAGTATTATAATAATGAGAATTAATAAAAATAAATCCATGAAGGCATCACTATGCAAAAAATATAAATGTTCCAAAAAATATGAAGATTTTAGTTTCCTCTGATTTCAGAGATTCATACAATCTTAAAAGTCAAACTCCCAGAAACCTAGGAATACATCAAAATAGGCAAATAAATCCGAGGAATCGCTAGAACTGAAACAGAAAGCAGTCTTACAAAAACAAACCCACTTTATTTAGACAGTGTTCAGGTCTCAGAATCAATGTGCCGGGTAAAAATGAAAAGAGAAAGCTACAAACTTCCAAGAACAGCGATAACTGAGTCTACACAAACTTTATTTTCTTAAAAATACATCACCATAAAATAAAAAGCAATAAAAGATATATATGGAGATCGGGGAGGGCAGGGTTTCACCCCATTTTTCGGTGATATACAGCCTGGAAAGTTTTGGAAGAGGAAATGCGCGTGTATCTGTGTGTCTGTGTGTGTGTGTGTGTGTGTGTAGTGTAGTGGGGTGGGCCGTGTTGAAGTGAGGGCTTGGTTCACCTGAGGAGGAGGAGGACGACAGCCTCCACACAGCAGTAATGCAGCAGTCACATGGGCACACACAAAGAAAAGAGAGAGAGAAAGAAAGAGAGAGAACAGCCATAACAGGAAAAGAGAAGGAGAGAAGAGAGGTAGTAAAGTGAGAGAGGTAGAGCGAGGCAGGGCAGCTACTCTGTCAGCACCTAAGGGAGGAGCACAAAAGGCCAGCTACACCTAAGATAAGCAAAGTTCCTCCATCACTTCAGTGTGATACCATATACACCTCCATTTGCGGAGGTTTTAAATGTGTGTGTGTGTGTTCGTACATCTGAAGCAAACAAAGTTTCATGCTTGTGTGGGTACATCTCTAAAAACAGCAGTTTGGTGGGCTCTCGTTCGGTGTTACAGTACTCGGGACGCGTTTAGGACAGCGAAGCACTCGTGGCGGTGTGAGTTACGATCTCTCATTGATCTCTGGGTCACAGCGTGGCTGACCAAGCAGAGTACCATAAAGCAAATCTGCTTCACACACTGTGCACAGATTGCGTACAATTGCACCGGCGAGGTAGATTATCAGCTAGATGTGGATGTAAATATTAAAAGGAATCTCGAGGAAGCCACCGGGAACCCTGCTGTAATGGATACCGCACCACAAACAAGTAAGGCAGTGGAAAGGTTCTCTGCGCGCCACAGGACTCCAGAGGCGGCGGGACGCTGTGAACCGGCTCGTAGCTACAGTGTGATTTCGATCTTGGAGCATTTAGCTTACGTGGATCAGCACAATATACACATATGATTCCATCAGTCACATTACAGGGAAGAGCCGGACAGCGAAGTTCCGCAGGAGTCTGTCTAACGCTCTCGAAAACAAACACAAGAGGAGAGAAACAGAACAGAAGCCAGTGCTATTACTAGCCAAGAGACGAAGGAACGGGAGCACTCTTGACTTTGTGCCCTGAGCGTGTGAATGTTTGCGGGTGAGGAGGTGAGTGCTCAGCTCGATCGAGAGGATTTAGAGATGACCCACCAATCAGCAAGGCCAAACTACAGAGGGCGACGACAGCAGGTCTGCGGGGGTCCCGAATTAATCTGGATTTGTGTGTGTGTGTGTGTGTGTGTATCTGTGTGTGGATGTTTACGTGTGTGCGGTGACGGGGGGAATAGTTTAGTTTTCAGCAGCACGAGGAGGGGGCGCAGATACAGGAGGTCCCACTGGGCCAGGGGGCATCCCATCAGGCTGTGCGGTTGGAGGTGGACCTGGGTCTATAAGGAGACAATGATGTTGTTTTAAAAACGCAGCCGGAAAAAATATATAGAGCCCAGGACAAATGTGCCACGCACAGGAACAAGAGGACGGGATCTAGCGATAGAAGGGATACTCACACATGCCGTTGGGTGGTCCAGGGTGTCGAGGGCCCATCATGGGCAGCATGCCACCCTGTGGGGGTCCAACTGGGGGAGGTCCAGGCATCATCCGGCCTGGCATAGGCTGACCTGGCATGGGCTGGCCTGGTCCAACCATTGGTCCTGAACAAAGCAACAAAAGACACTTGAAGAGAGACGTATTGATGTGCTACAGAATATTTGCTTTTGGAAAGGAATTAGCAGGGTTTCTGCGGGTTTTTAAGACCAAGTAAAGAAAATTTAAGGAATAAAAGGAAGCGGACAGAAAAAAAAAGAGAGGAAAAAATCTGCCAATAGAGAAAAACTAGCATTTTTAAAAGGGAAACAAGTTTATTGTTCGGATCCTATTGACAGATATTTGTTGTTTTAAGCACAAACTCGCTTAATTTTGTTAAATATCTTCATTTTTCATCTCAAGTAAACGTATTTTGATTTAAGGATGTTTAGATATTTGCACTGGAAAAACAAACAAATACTGATTTTTTTTTCGCAGTGCATGCAGTATTTAATGCCATGAGTTTATAAACTTAAGACTTTCTGCGCCAATTTAAGGCCTTAATTTGTGGAATGGCAAATTAAGACTTACCTTTTTAAGACTCATTAGGGATGTGCAATTTATCAAATTTTAGTTTCCATTTCAGCTTCCAATGATACAAAAAGTCAATAATCGAGATAAAACGATCACTGTGCCACATTCCAAACATGCGGTGCAAAAAACGTAATTTCCAAATCAGTCAAATCATGTAACACGACTGTCATAAAACGCAGACTACTGCGGGACAAGCTTGATATTAAAAAGAGCTGCTTTAAGCTCCATAAAAGAGCTCAAGCTGTTCTCCAGGTGGTTTTGTGTGTGTGTGCTCTGAGAATGCAGCCTAGAATTAATGTTTTGTACTAAAAGGAGCAACCCAAAAGAAGACCTCAAACACAAAACCAGAAGATCAGGGTGCGTGCTGACCTGTCTGAGGGGCATGGTGGGGACCCATGGGATGGTGCATGGGGGGATATGCGGGGCCTGGGTGCCCGGGATGTCCTGGGTGTCCAGGGTGCATGCCTGGAGGTGGGCCGTGTGGAGTTGGGCCATGTGGAGGTGGTCCGTGATGTAAAAAAAGAGAGGAAAAAATCTGCCAATAGAGAAAAACTAGCATTTTTAAAAGGGAAACAAGTTTATTGTTCGGATCCTATTGACAGATATTTGTTGTTTTAAGCACAAACTCGCTTAATTTTGTTAAATATCTTCATTTTTCATCTCAAGTAAACGTATTTTGATTTAAGGATGTTTAGATATTTGCACTGGAAAAACAAACAAATACTGATTTTTTTTTCGCAGTGCATGCAGTATTTAATGCCATGAGTTTATAAACTTAAGACTTTCTGCGCCAATTTAAGGCCTTAATTTGTGGAATGGCAAATTAAGACTTACCTTTTTAAGACTCATTAGGGATGTGCAATTTATCAAATTTTAGTTTCCATTTCAGCTTCCAATGATACAAAAAGTCAATAATCGAGATAAAACGATCACTGTGCCACATTCCAAACATGCGGTGCAAAAAACGTAATTTCCAAATCAGTCAAATCATGTAACACGACTGTCATAAAACGCAGACTACTGCGGGACAAGCTTGATATTAAAAAGAGCTGCTTTAAGCTCCAAAAAAGAGCTCAAGCTGTTCTCCAGGTGGTTTTGTGTGTGTGTGCTCTGAGAATGCAGCCTAGAATTAATGTTTTGTACTAAAAGGAGCAACCCAAAAGAAGACCTCAAACACAAAACCAGAAGATCAGGGTGCGTGCTGACCTGTCTGAGGGGCATGGTGGGGACCCATGGGATGGTGCATGGGGGGATATGCGGGGCCTGGGTGCCCGGGATGTCCTGGGTGTCCAGGGTGCATGCCTGGAGGTGGGCCGTGTGGAGTTGGGCCATGTGGAGGTGGTCCGTGATGTCCTCCTGCATTCTGCTGCACAGCTGCCTGCTGTTCCATCTGCTGACGAGCCTTCATCTCAGCATATTTCAACTGCTCCATGTGGAACGCCTGTCGCTCTGTCAAAAGCTGCTGCCTCTGGAGCTCCAGCTATAAAGGGAAAAACTCCTGTTAAATCAACTCAGCTTGATGGGGCAAGGGGGAAAGTTTAAATTGATTACTAAGGCTCTACTAACAGCACACAATTTCGATTTGCTTTTCAAATCCAATCATTAGAACGCATTTTGCAAGCACTCTAATCGGATCTATTCGTTTGGGCAGTGCAGTCAACATCTGGTCTATTTACAGCTGGTTCTTTAATATAAATTTGTGCATAATGTGAAAAAAGGTAGAAAGCGATCAGTGTAGAACTAGAAAAATGAAAACTGGAAATTTGACATCTGGTTATGTCCATCATGGCATTGAAAAATTGTGCTAATCATGAGATGCATTGGGGGAAAAAAAGCTACAAAAAAAAAAACATTTCATGAAAAAAAAAAAATTTAGTTCATTTATTAAAAATTAACTTCAAACCACATTTGAATGTTCTGTCCACCAAAAAAAAAAAAAAAAAAAAGAATAGAAAAGAAAAACATTAATTTCTTTATTATTCAATAATAATAACAACAATAAAGTTAATATTGGGAACCAGTGTGGACCAGTTAGACATGCCAATACTGGTTACACATGCCATCTTTATGCTGTAGCTTCAGAAGTTATGCAAACGCCCACCAGAAGAATGCGTCACAAATATGGCGTGAACCCAATTCATGCCACTAAAATGGCACAAAAATGTTCCTGTGAGCAGAAATCAGTACTGCAGAAACAAACCTTTTTTTGCGTTTTCTAAAGAAAGAGCGGGTGGTGCTAGCCTGTGCAGAAGTCCCCAACATGCTTAACTAAAATCAAAGCTGTACTTAGTGAATTTATGAACACTAGAAGGAAATAAAGTACCACTGGGATGGGCTATATAAAAGACACATCCTTCATGCACTATTTACAGCAGCTAAATTGGGTTACCATCTTCAGCTAGATTTGCTAAAGCATTTTGTATAGCTCTCCAAGTCTCTTGTGGACAGCGCCTCTGGTGTGCAGACGTAAGACTACAGGATACATAAGAACAAGGCACAGCACTAGCAAAGCAGGTGTAAATTACAACCTCATACTACAACTAGTTAGTAGCTATTGTAACACTGCATGGAGGGGAAAAAAATACAAATTCATTGACTTTACTGAGCAGAGAAACAAATGTAAGTTTTTTTTAATCTTTTTTTTTTCAAAAACTGAATAATAATTTTATTGATAATAAATAATTCAACAATATAACTTACTACAGTGAGCAAAAAAGCCACAATGCAAAAAATAATAATAAATAAATAAAATCAATATAAAATGCATTATTTTGGATTTTAGGGTGACCTGTTCTTGATATCCAGATTCAATACTTACTGCTTCTTTCTCACGGTCCATGATGGTCTCCAGCTCCTCAAAGTGTCTGAGTTTTAGCTCCAGCTTCTTCATCTGAGTCTCTACCAGCAGAGCCACAAGAGATTTGATCTTCCTCTCTTCCACTGCAGCCAGGTGCTGAGACACAACAAGGTGCAGAGGAACAACAGCGCATGAAATCAAGTTAGCTGCCAGGGTTATAAAAACACTTTGATTGGAGACAGCTGCATAAAGCACAGTTACTATTGGTGCCAACAAGGGAAGTTAAAGAATTGATAAACATTGAACCCAGTCCCTGTTGAAGTCTGAGCATTGCATTACCTTTGCCTTGGTGGCAGCAGAGGCCAGAGCAGCAGCGGCAGCGGTGGCGATGTTGCCCTCTCCGATATCCAACTCAAGGTTTTTCTTTCCTTCCTCCTTTTCTTCCTCACCCTCTTTCCCTTCCTCTGTGGTCTCCATGTCCTCCTCTTTGTCTTTCTCTGGAACATGAGAATAAAAAAAAAAGTACAGACTTACAGTAAGTTCAAGTCCACATTTTAAAGGTCAACATGCACTTTACAGTGAAATGTAGCAGTTCTTGTTTGTTTTAAAAGCATACTGTATGTAAATCTAGCGGCTCATTTGATTTTATGTATTTGGATTTGCTGAAAAGATGTATTATTATTTAAAAATATTTTAATGTATTATTTTTGTGTTAAAAGGAGAGTTCACCCCAAAAAAAAAACTTACCCTCAAGTTATTTCAAACCTGTATGAATTTCCTTCTCCCCGCTGAAAACAAAATGACATTTTGAAGAATGTGGGTAACCAAGCAGTTGATAGTTCCCATTGACTTCCATAGTATTATTTTTCTATACTACCTACATTATTCAAATATCTTTTGTGTTCAGCAGAAAAAAGAAACTCGGACAGGTTTGCAACAACTTGAGCGTGAGTAAATTTTCATTTTTGGGTGAACACCATCTTTTGAAATGGTAAAAAAAAAAAAAAAAAAAGTCCAATGTTTTGAAAAAAGAAAGTGGTGTAGCAACTCAAAATTGCATCGCACACACAAGCATCATGGCTCAATTTAACAGGCATTAAGCAGATTTCAGTCAGCGTGTGTCAGATTTCAGGAAAGCCCATGAGCATTCGTTGCCGCTGTGGCTTCCAGTGTCTGTACCTGCTGTCTTGGATTCTCCTCCCTCACTCTCTTCCTCTTCCTGCGGCTCAGATTTCTCTGTAGTCTCATTCTTTTCCTTCTCTGTCGGCTTTTCCGCAGACTCGCTGGGCTTCTCTGCTTCATCCTTTGACTCCGCCTGCAACAGATGAGATGGGGAATGGCGAGACGTGAGTCAGACAGTATGAGACAACTGAAATGCAAATGAAGCGATGGTACAGATGACTGTATAGAAAGTGAACTTGGAAGAACTAGACTCAATATAGAGAGGCGCATTGCAAGGAATCCCAATAATGCTGGGAAATGATAAATCACTTCTGATCTGATTCTAAACAATCCATAAACATGACTTAGTAGCAAATACAAATGACTACTGGTGGTAGGGCCATATCTGACCTTATCAGGCTGGGAATCCGAGTCAGTGTCCATCTTCTCAGTCTCTGTAGGTTCTGCGAGTAAAGGGGAAAAAATAGATTAAAACATCAAATGCAATGTGGTACAGTGCATTGGAGAAAAAGAAACCTAAAGGCAAAAATATATATATATATCTTAGAAAGCACTTCAGCTGCAGTAAAACACTGTTTTTGGCTCAAATTGATTTTTATGAGATTGTCAATAAGTCCCTCTTAATGCGGCCCATAACTGCCTAAAAAAAGTTTTTTTGTTTTTTTTAAAGTAACCTCACATAAAGGCTGCATTTACTCGGTCAAAAACACAGTAAAAAGCAATACTGTAAATTATTGCTGAATTTACATTACCTAAAGGAATATTACATTTTGTATTATTACAATTTTAAATAACTGTTTTCTGTTTTAATACATTTCAAAATGTAATTTTGTGATACAATGTCCCATCTTCAGCATCAAACGATCCTTCAGAAATAATTCTAATATGATGATTTGGTGGTCAAGAAACATTTCTTACTATCTATGCTGAAAATGTTGATATTTTTGTAGAAACCATGATTTGAAAACCACTTTTCATGCATTTAATTAAAATATTTTTTTTTAATGTCAGAAGTCTTTACTGTCACTTTTTGATCAATTTAATGCAGCCTTGCTACATTAAGATATTTCTTAAAAAAAAAAAAATCTGACTGACCCCAAACTTTTCAACAGCAGTGCACATGTGAGGGGAAAATTGTGTATGAAATGTAGCCATAGTGGACAATGAAGTATCAGTGTGAACACAAACAAATGCATCAAAAAGTCAAACTACAGAGCCTGACAGCACACAGAAGGCAAAAAACACAAAACAAAATGAACCAGCCATTAAAGAAGAGTACAGCATGACCAAGTGAGTGAATGACCTTATGAACAGGCATTAGAGCAACAGAGCTGAACAAAGAGTTGTGGCGTTGGAGCCTTTAATAAGGTATGTGTGGCAAAGCCTGCACTGGCACACCATGTCACACTAGGTCACTCCACTGACCCAGTTTCAACCCCTCCCACGTCTGTGCCCCATCTGCCAGCGCTGCATAAAGCCATCGGCACGCTGCCTCTGGTGCTGTGCTGTCTCACAATTAATGTATTATACAAGGTCTATAAAGTTTAGAAAGGTGTGTAGGTGAGATTTTATATCATATTCTTTTTTATTTGACTCCAATTGTCATTAAATCACGGCAAGCCCATGCACAGCTGATCAGGGTCATTGGGTTTGTCTAGTAGTCCAGAAGTACTGATCTGATGCCACCTGGTGGAAGCAGCTAGAACTACACAGGAACAACTAGCAAGATGGAAAACCCACCCATCACAGCTGTTGATGATTTTTCCTAATTTCACTGCATGCAAAATTACCCGTCTTCTCTGGTTCCTCAGGAGCTGTACCAGCAATGCCACTGTTCTCCAGGCCGAACGCAGGGTCTACTTTTCCTGTGCTGCGCGCGGCTTCCTGTACCTTCTTCACATGAGCCTCTACCAGCTCTGTGGGAACCTCCTCACGCACACGCGAGAACTCCTCTACAAATGTAATGGACAGAAAAACCATCTTAAAATACAGACAATAACACACGATGTTGTTTGTTGTGAGCTATTAAAGTTCCAGAACCAATTTTGCAATGCAGAAGCTCTGAATGAACAAGACTTCCAATTTCTTAGACAGTAGACACTTGAACTAGAAACTAGAAGAATAACTGGTTTTGTGCTACAAACAAGTTTATTTATGATTACAATAAATTGAAGTTATATAAAACTAGGGCTATTGATTCCACAAGTTAATTTGGGGAAAATAATAACAGAGATTATATTTTTTCCCCAAATATCTGACCTATTGCAAATGTGAAACTGATTTCACACAACAGTTCAATAAACAAATTAACACTGTAACATTTTAGACAGCATTGTCAGACTCAGTATAGTGATTTTTTTCTCAATTTCAGCAACGGAAACACTTCCGAACAAATCCACAGCGGTGTTACAATACTGAATGAATAAAAGCTTTTTTTTTTACGTATTGAGTGAGCCAATGATTCAAGACAAGTCACTTGCTAAGTTTCTGAATGAATCAGTGGTCTGAACTAAACTGTTAAATGTAGGGCTGGACGATATGGCCAAAATTGATATCACGGTATATTTCTTAATTTCGGTCGATACGATATAATTAAATGAATAAACGACTCACTCATTAACACAGTGATTTGCCGCCACCAAAGTGCAGTTTTAGTTTCATATTTAAGAGTGTCATTCCAATGAAAAAAATAATTTCATATTTCAATATTCAATTTTTAAATCCCATTCATGCCCATTTAAAATCCATTAATTTATAGCATTATGTATCAATTCATTCATGCTACCTCTGAACAGTTTGGCTAAATACCTAAATGCCACTTCGGAAAAGAATGATATGGTCACATTGTAGCCTTAAAAGTTTGTGTAATAAATTCTGTTGAATCAAAATACGCCTAAAACTCCTTTTTTGTAATGTCTATTCATTGCTTTTCTCATTTAACACAATGATGACTTCATCTTTTGGGGGTAATTTCTCACCCCAAACTGATGTGCAATTAATGACACCGGAAGCCCAGCACATTGAAATTACAAATGGCTACATTCTCTCTTACATTAAAAAAAAAAGGTGGATACACCAAAACTTGACAACATACCCAAAGCTGCTTTGGCAGCAGCCGCCGCCACACGCGGGTCGACCACAGAGGCAAGGAATGCAACAGTGCTCATGACAGGATTTCCTGATTGGCTAAAGGGGATCGGCTGGTAAGCCAAAGGGCCTAGTGAGGCTTCAGAGCTCTCCAGGTATTGATCCTCTATCGGCAGCCGCAGGAAGTGCAAGATGCACTCATCTTGTGTACGGCTGCCCACGTGCTCAGAAACCTTATTCCAGTCATCCTTATACATCTCCAGAGCCTGGAACGATTAGTTTAAAATATATTATTAAAACAAACTGGTATGAAAGGAGAATCCTGAGTTTATGATGCCCACTGATTCAGATCTCACCTCCAACAGAAGCAATGTTTCTTGCTCAGTCCACTCTCTCCCACCTGCAGCCCCTTTACCCTGTAAGGCAAATGATTACATCAAAAAACTATGGGAAAAAAAAAAAGCATTGACAACTAGGTCTAGTATTAGGTGACTTGCCTTGGGATTCTTCTTTGAGTAAAAATCTGTACGGAGGCCAAAGTTCTGCAGGTCAGTTGGCTTGTCTTTGCCCTTCTCTGGGAAGTTCAGCATCTGCTGAGCAGGGGGAACCTGGGATGAAAAGCAAAGACTTTATTGCAACTGTTTCACAAGAAAGCTTGTGCCTTCTGGGAATTGAAAGGGAAGTCACCCCAGTCTCACCTGTGGGGGGCGGTGGTGCAGCGGCACCAAGCCAGAGGGAGTATCAGCCAGAACATTGAAATGTGGGGTTGGTGGAGGGCCCATTGGAAGGGGTCTGCTCTCAGAATCAACCTGATAGTTCACCAGCCCCCACTGCTCCAAAAAGGCATGCGCTCTGGGGGGGAAAAAAAGACAAGACTAAAGGTAAATATATAATATCAAAAAATAAAATAAATGATCCTATTTGACTTTATGCAAGGCTCTCTGCATAATATTCTAATAAATTCTGAAGGTAAATAAAAATTCTGACCTCATGACCGCACAGACATCTCCAGTGAGGTTTCTCCTGCAGGAGGTGGAGGTCAGGTACTCCTGAGGATTCAGCCGGTATGTGTCAATCATGAAGTTACGATAAGCCAGATAGCTAAGGAAGAGGCAATAAACAAAGTATGAAAGTTGAGAAAGGAAATGTGAATTAAATTTTAATGTGAATTAAATGTGCAAACTTACATCTCTGGAGTCTTCGATTTGTTTTTGCCATTGAAGAACTCTGGCAGGGCACGCCTCTCAATTTCATGTATACTGGGAAAAAAGAAAAATGTGAATGCGCAACGACATTCCCAACTAAGAAAAGGTAGAGTAGGCTTTTTCAGGATTGAACTGAGAAAATCTAGACAAATATCATACATATGATATTTTTCATTAAGTTGGTGTATAGTTTCACATTTTTTTTTTACATTTAAAAAAAAAAAAAACATTCCAGCTTAACCAAAAATTCTTCTCTAACCCGCACTGTTTGTCTAATACAGTGGTTCTCAATTAAGGTGCGGGGGTCCACTAGGGGGCCTCAGCAAACTTCCAAGGGGATGACTTCAGTTCAATTATTTTATAAAGTTAAATAATTCTAATTAAAATTCATACTATTTTTTGTTAAAAATGTAAAACCACTTCATTATAAAATGTAATTATTTCATTTTAAAATTGAGTATTGTTTTATTAAAGAAAACAGCTCTTGAAATAATTGCAGTTCATTTAATATTGACCAAAAAAAAGAGACTAAAAAAGCAGCTTTATCATAATTACATCAGAACATACCAGAAGAAATATCACAGCATATGAGGAAGAGTCTTCAAATATTGTGTTGGACAAGTCAAAAAGGTTGAGAACCACTGGTCTATAACACTACTTTCCATCCAAACAAGCTCTCAGGACACTGAAAAAGCATGTGGTGGAAGGGATTTGATACCTGTTGTAGTCGAACCAGGCAGCATAGCTGGGTATAATGATGTGATGGGTTTGTTCAGTCACGTTGTCCTCCGAGTCAATCAGACGATTAATCACCATTTTGCCCTGTTCATCTTCCTCCTGTCAATTACAATTCGTAAACACTTTCAGAACCATCTGACTGTATAAATGGCTTGGCACTGAAGTCATATATTGATAGACTACTTAAAAAAAATAATTTATAGTTAAAGTGCAAGGGCTATTATCAACAAAATGCTGTGCATCTGATATAATAATGGAGAGAAACTTTCCAAAAACACAACTGGATTACAATATGAAGAGACTCTACCTTGCCACCAGATGCTAGTGAATCATCTTCCTGGTCATCTAAGAGGGTAAACAAAGTTAATGCGATCATTTACATTTCCTCTGACGAGATATCAAATTCATACCCACAACAAATAAGAAGCAAAATACTCACCCAAATCAGCAACCGTTCCGCCTTTCACTGGCGTGTTCTCACTGTCCTTTTTCTGATTGACTGCAAGCAGAAAGGCAGAGAACATTTAGGAAAGCAGATGATGTATCAGACAGACAATTCCAATACAATTTTAAATTTAAAAGCTTTCAGTCTAAAGTAGGACAATGAAAGTAGGGCGCAACTTGTAATAGCAGAGTGTCTATTTTAGCCATGCACTGAATCTCAATGCATCCAGAGGGGCTTTTAAAAAAAAAAAGGTGCTATGAACTATGAAATAAAAAGCTCAGAAAAAAGACAGCTCAGCCATTTAAGTCAAGCAAGTAGTCGTCAACCAGGCTTTCCCCGCCCCCAAAGTCACTTACTAAGCATACTACTACTAACAGGGAAAAGCTACCCTAAGTAACCCAGGGTTATGATCAAGTGTACAACAGGGCTGTCAAAAAAAAAAATTTGAATTTCGAATATTCATCGAATTTAAAATAAAAATCCCCACACACAAAGGGGAGGGGGGTCCTGAGGGGATATTTGGGTGGTGGGGTGAGGTACGTGAGGGTGAGGCAGCGAGAAAGAGCTTTAGAGGATGATTGACAGACACGCAGACAGTGACAGAACAAACCCTGTCTAGACCTCAAAGGGTCTGGCTTAGCAACACAACGGAAATCTGAACATGCATCATATCTATTTCTTTAGCGCTCGTGTCTTTGGGTCTCTTACCACTTCTTCTCCTGGGAAGATCCGCTGGCGGAAACTCACAGGCTTCTTGTTCTCATCCACTTCGTAATCTTCCTCATTCATCCACTCGTTGAAAGCATCTGTGTCGATGACCCATTTAGCATGCACCTGAGGGGATTGTAGAATGTACTGAGAAAACGCTGGAAAACTGAATTTGGCAGCATCACTTACAATAGGATTATGTTTAGGGATGTAACGATTAACCGCGAGCCGGTTGAAAATCGATTTAAATATGTGGCAACCAGGGACTTGCGGTCCTTGCGATCGGGTGTACGGGAAGACTGATCAGAACCATGGAGGGGTGGAGGATGAGAGAAAGAGCGAGAGAATGAGAGAATGGAACGGTCTTACACACAAAGGGGAGGGATTTTTCTTTTCATCTTGCCTCCATATAAAGCATATAAAGTTCATAAGTGCAGCACTGCTTTGTTTACAGCGGAAACCAGACAAAGCCTTATTTTGTTTATATGAAGAGATTTATTTTATTTGTGTTATGTATTCATTTGATTTGGGGCTTGTTTTAAAATTACAATTTAGTTTTGTTATTTACATTTACATTGTATTTAAATTTTGTCATTTAGCAGACGCTTTTATCCAAAGCATGAATCGAATCGAGAGTTGAGTGAATCGTTACATCCCTAATTATGCTTCATATTGTAAGGCTTTTAAAAAGTGTTTATTTTAAAACTGCGAATTAGGAAACATCAAAACATTTACAGATCCTCTTACCCTCCATGGTTTCTCAGAACTTGGTGGATCCTCAACATCTCCATCCACATCACTTGTTGATACCCATGTATCATAACTGCAGAGTTAAATAATATAATTTATCATTTAAATTAGAATGAATCTTTCCGTTTCACACAAACATACAGTATGTGTGCAAATATACCCAACCAACCTGTCAGGGTAATTACCCCAGTGAACCAAAACTTGCTTGTCTTTGCGCATGACAGGACGTAGCCATTCCTCTGAAAGGCAGAAGCAGAATTCAAAAGGTAAGTTCAAGAAAACACCAAATATAATGTCCAATTAAACAAAATGATTGAGGAAATTTTGTTCACCCATCTTTTGTTATAAAAATCAAACACCAACCTTCTTCAACCTGGGCTGGGGAGGGGTAAATAATATGAGTGGCCTTTGATTTATCTTCAGTGATGGTGCCCTAGAAGTTTGAGTGAAACACAAACATCAGAGAAGTGCAAAAAAACACAAGATGGAATTTTAACAACCTAATCAATTCATTTTTTTAAAAAAATTTTTTTTAACCTGATGTCTCTTGATGATGTCTTTGAGCTTGTTGGCTTGCTTTTGGTCCATGTCAGAAACAATGTATACAATTGGTCGGGTCAAAGAGTTGTTCTGCAGGGAAGAATGAGATATGCATTATTGCATACAGAGAACATTACATATTCAGGACTGGGAGAACCAAATGTGACTAAATCAACAAAGTACATTCACAATGAGTCCTAGTATATATTTAAATTTATAGACCACAGCACATAGACCTCTACCTGAACAAGAGTCTTCTCAATAGTCATGAACATCTCCACGTTTCTATCCATTCTGGATGGGTTCTGCAGATCAAACCTCCTCCTGAAGAAAGACAGGCACACCAATATTTAACATATTAGCATGAGCTTTTAAGTATTACTTCACTGAAGTTTTTGTCATTGCATGCATTGTTCCAACGTTCACCCTTCCTGAGATTCTACTCACCAGCCCTGCTCGCTTTTGAACTTGTATGCAGAACCCAGAATGTGGCAAAGGGCTCCTCCAGGTTTGAAATCGAGAAAGCTCTTTGCCTAGAATGACAAAATTACTTAACAAAATTTCCCATTGGTGTTCAAATACAAATGTACAAATTTCTGCAGAATTGTACCATAAGAACAAGGCACTGTACTTGTACTGTGTCACATGTGAAACAATACATTTTAGTATAGAGGTGCATGAACGAAAGAGCAGATTTAAGGAATAATTCACCTAAAAATGAAAACTTTGTCAGTTACTCAACCTCACGTCGTTCCACATCCATAAGACTTTCAGTCATCTTCGAAACACAAATGAAGATAGTAATGTTCAAACATTTCACAGAGGTTATAAAAGGAATCCATATTATTGGAGTGGTTTAAATCTGTTCACCTTAAAGTGATTTTGTCTTCATATGGACTACTCCGTTCACATGGATTACATTTACTTATGTTTTATGAACTTTGGATGAAAGGACTTTCAATGAGGAGACTATCTTCAGTTATATTTTGAAGAGGAGTAAAAGTGCTATAGAGTGGGAACGTGAAGAACAAGAAGTGAAAACACTGCAAATCCAGACTTACGGGTAGTTTGGTAAGGGCAGGATTGCTGACTCTACGCCCAAATGCATCCTCCTGAAACTGCAGCAACTGCACCACCAGCGCAGCCAAAGTTTTGCATGTAGGAGAGTCGGTTTGGACATACTGCAGAAAAATGAAGAGCCACAATAAAAATTACTTAACAAAATTTCCCATTGGTGTTCAAATACAAATGTACAAATTTCTGCAGAATTGTACCATAAGAACAAGGCACTGTACTTGTACTGTGTCACATGTGAAACAATAAATTTTAGTATAGAGGTGCATGAACGAAAGAGATTTAAGGAATAATTCACCTAAAAATGAAAACTTTGTCAGTTACTCAACCTCACATCGTTCCACATCCATAAGACTTTCAGTCATCTTCGAAACACAAATGAAGATAGTAATGTTCAAACATTTCACAGAGGTTATAAAAGGAATCCATATTATTGGAGTGGTTTAAATCTGTTCACCTTAAAGTGATTTTGTCTTCATATGGACTACTCCGTTCACATGGATTACATTTACTTATGTTTTATGAACTTTGGATGAAAGGACTTTCAATGAGGAGACTATCTTCAGTTATGTTTTGAAGAGGAGTAAAAGTGCTATAGAGTGGGAACGTGAAGAACAAGAAGTGAAAACACTGCAAATCCAGACTTACGGGTAGTTTGGTAAGGGCAGGATTGCTGACTCTACGCCCAAATGCATCCTCCTGAAACTGCAGCAACTGCACCACCAGCGCAGCCAAAGTTTTGCATGTAGGAGAGTCGGTTTGGACATACTGCAGAAAAATGAAGAGCCACAATAAATACCAGAAAATCAATTAGAAAACTCTAAGTATTGGATCTTTATGTTGGTGTTTTCAGTAATCACACAAAAACAAAAATACCCTCAAGCTCTGCTTCTAGCAATCATTACAATCTAATCTGAAGAAATAATTCTGAGCATGCATAATACATGAACTTCATTCACAAAAGTGCATTACAGGAGACTATAACTGGACAATACAGAGCAAGGGTGAAATCATCCAGTGCCAACAAATATCTGCCAAAGAAAAACCCTCACACTTGATTTTAAACAACATACACACGTTTTTTTTTATCTCTGCCACAAAGCTAAACCACTAACAAAAGTTTCATGGTTTAAATTGACAGTACCGTTGTAAATACCATGGTATTCTTGACATACCTTTGGCTACCATGTAAACACAATGATGGGTCACAGTGTTAATCATTCAGTACCATATGTATGTACCTAATATACCATTACAGAATCATGGTACCACCAGAACATCTAATGAATCAACATTAGAGAATCAGTAAACAAACTTCAGCACAAACAACCGAAGCATTGTGGCGAGAACCACCAAGAATCATCTGACATTAAATGCAGTGGAGTTAAAAAGAGAGCATATCCCAAAAATGTTGCGAATGAAGACAGTAATTTGGCATATTTTAAGACACAGCCATTATTATGGCAGATCGCGCATCTCAGTCACTATCGTTAGCGTGCAAGCTAACTCAACAGCCTATTAAAAAGAGAGCATATCCCAAAAATTTTGCAAATGAAGACAGTAATTTGGCATATTTTAAGACACAGCCATTATTATGGCAGATCGCGCATCTCAGTCACTATCGTTAGCGTGCAAGCTAACTCAACAGCCCACAACACTGCCGCTTTAATTAACACAAGAGCAAAACTTGATGACTTAAATGCCAGCCTGGAACCCAAACAACATCTGCACCACTGCTCTGATTCGACCCTTTCAAAAAAATCGAATATAATAGCAAATAAACTACACGCAAGCACGCGTGCCGCTTCTTGTAGCTATTGTGTGATGCGCGAGCGCGCCCCCATTCAACGGGCGCCTCATGAGCCGCAGACCTTCTTATAATGTTTCCCGATCCACAGCCGAACTGTCTCCAGCTGGGACACCGTTTCCGAGCTCTCCCAAAATTTGGAAGAAGGCCCTCCGTCTTTTTTCCGTCCGATCGAGGAACCGGCGCCCGCCTGGCCAGCCGATGGTCCGCCGGAGCCCGTTCCGCCCGCTGCAGTCGCCGCTGTCGCCATTGTTTCTTTATTAGCGATAGAGGCTAATCCGTGGAAAATGTTTTAAAACAGCACTGCGCCTGCGCAACGGTCGACGCAAGAGTCGTTGGTCGAGGGAACTCTCGCGAGATGTCATTGTGTATAAACCAAACGAGATTTTCGCACAAAGAATATATTCTATTTTTCTTCTCAAAATTATATTCAATTCATAAAATGTAGATTAAAATATAATTTGGAAGAACTCGTATTCCTGATACCGCATACAAAACATTTTAAATCGATGCAAATTAAAATTTTAACAAATAAAATGTAATGAACATTATGGAAGTGAAGTTAGAGCAGGGGTTCTCATCACCCGCGGCCCACTAGGGGGCCTCAGTGATCCTCCAGGGGAGTCGCGAGATAGCTTAAAATTAATTTAAATATGATCCTATAATTGTTTAATTTCATTATTAATGTGTTATGTTAAAATGATCAAAGCACGGCCTCTCTCATGTTCTGTGATTGATTGCTTCGGACTCGGCGCAGCAAGCCTCATCGCACTGTTAAAAACAGACAGGAGGCCACTTGCGTTTTTAGGGGGAACAATTTTAAAGTTCATCTTAACCTACTTTAAGTATTATTCATTAAGTCATTTTTCACCATATCATGTATCACTGCAATCTAGAAGTAAGCTATAACAATTTAAACTAAAACGAATGTTTCATCTTTCATAATTATACATCGTCCATCACAACTAACATAGTTATATTTATATTAAACTTTAATTTATTTGACATATAATTTTGTATTGTAGTGTCAGGGACATCATGCACTCATTATTTTTGAGGGGCACGAGTGAAGGGGCGGGGGTGGGGTGGCTCTCATGCTTGTCATGTGACACACAGCAGACACGATACCACTGTATAACTGATATAGGCTAATGTTTTATTAAATTTTTTTTCAATTCGAAATATTCCCAGAATATATAATGAAATATCTCGATTCTCAAATATGTGTAAGTAAATGCATTTTGCACCTTTATAGATAATGTTAGTTGATCTATAATGGGCGATGGGCAAAGTAGCCTAATAGTGTAACTTAATCTATTAACTATGCATAAAAATCCGTCTTTTTACTTAAATACCAGATATGGGTGTCATACCATAAAATATTTTTAATACGACTGACTTTGTATTTAATGTGAGTTTAATAAAAACATTGAAACATTTGAATTTTGAGTGTTTTTTTATTTATTTTTTGTTTTTATAGCATGCAGTAGAAGAAGAATAAGGCAAAACAAATGTTTTGGTTAATAAAAAAGGTTTAAAAATAAACACTTTTCTTTTTGCTGTGGAAGAATGTCAGGCATTGGGGGGGGGCTTGCAAAATTGACCCGAGAAGGAGGGGGGCCCCGGAGTAAAAAAGGTTGAGAACCCCTTTGTTAGAGCCAGTAATCATTTTGTATTTTGTAATGTCCAGTAGCACAAGACAGATTATTGGCATAATAGTGCCATCTAGTGGTAACTATGGGTGTTACCTGTTCCCTTTACTTCCTCTATATGAATATTGCACCATTTTTTTTTCTATTACTTCTATTTTACCTTGATTTATAGCCTACTTCTCTTGTACTCAGATTGGCTAAAGACATACTCTTCCAATACCATATGACCATCACCATCAGAAGCCCTGAGATGATTGAGCTCAAGAAAATGGCTACAGCAACCCACTGTAATATGTTAATTGAACTTAAATATCTATAATAAAAAAAATGTCATAGCTATTAACAAACTACATTCCAATCACTGTTGATTGGACATTAGTAATAATTGAAGCTTGTCTGCTATTCCATCAGACTTGTTTTCAGGCATATAATCTTTTATTCTTTTTCCAAATATGACACAAGGCCGCATTCTGTTATTCTTGAGCTAATCATATTGACTTGACAGAGCCATTATGGTTATGTTATAATTTTATTTAAACTAAATTTCTCAGAATAATTATGCTTTTATTACTCAGCGTTTAAAGCCCTATGCGACTCACTTCCGCCCGTCCTCCGATCGCCGTCCTCTCTACGGCTCTGAACTATCCTATCATAATAAAGGCAAAAAAACTGCAACTAAAAGCTTAATTTGTTTAGAAGCTTGGTATTTTTCTGATTTTATTTACTTCTCATTTGCAGAGCAATGGACATGCATGTGTTTTTCCTGCTTTGTACTTTTGTGGTGCCTTGTTTTACAGACGCAACTACAGCTAAAGGTAAAGTTGGTTTGTTTTGAAAATACAGACGTAATACATTAGACACTTGTTTCATATTTTGGTATTACTTTTAAACTATTTCAATAATTGCTTTGTCTTGCATAAATGTTTGTTTACATTTTTATAGAGAAGTTTGGTATTTTTCTGATTTTATTTACTTCTCATTTGCAGAGCAATGGACATGCATGTGTTTTTCCTGCTTTGTACTTTTGTGGTGCCTTGTTTTACAGACGCAACTACAGCTAAAGGTAAAGTTGGTTTGTTTTGAAAATACAGACGTAATACATTAGACACTTGTTTCATATTTTGGTATTACTTTTAAACTATTTCAATAATTGCTTTGTCTTGCATAAATGTTTGTTTACATTTTTATAGTTACATTATAAATATATTAAGGTTGCTGCATATTATCGCAAAAGGACTTTGTCTTGAACTGTTGTGTCCTTGCCAATAATGATGGAAATATTTAATAGTTTTCAGTAGTTATACACTTAATATGTGTCTATATAGAAAATATATATATACACACACAAAACACATAAATAACTTTTGACTATAGTGCTTTATCAATTTCAGCCAGAAATCTTGCTTTGTATGGCAAGGCCACACAATCAGACCTGGTTGAGAATCCTTGGTCAGCAGATGGCCATGCCATTAATGCTGCTGATGGTAATCGTGACTCTAATTTTGAACATGGATCCTGTACTGCTACTACAATGCAAAATGACCCATGGTGGAGGTTAGACTTACTAGACAAGTATGTAGTGACCTCCATAACCATCACCAACCGAAAAGACTGCTGTCCTGAAAGGCTTGATGGAGCTGAGATACACATTGGGAACTCTCTGCTGAACAACGGCAACAGCAATCCTTTGTAAGAAAACTACACTACAACTATTTTAAAAGAACAATGTGATGAGGTTACATACACACGATCACACACTGTTCATCTGCTGTTGTTTTAATACAGGGCTGGAAAGATTTCATCCATTCCAGGTGGGAGATCCCTCACTTTCAAATGGAAGAAAGGCATTCCAGGCCGTTACATCAATGTGGTCATACCTGGATCTAATCGACTTCTTACCCTCTGCGAGGTCGAGGTTTACGGTTATCCAGCTCCTGATGGTGAGAAGGATTTAAACAGTGTAGCTCTGATAAAAGTAATTAATCAAAAAGAGAGAATGCTTACTATAATCTTTTTATTCAAAAACAACAAAAAATCAATAACGCGATGTTGTCATGATTTCCATCTCTAGATTGTAAGACAAGTTCTTTGTTCTTTCACTTGGAACTCATCTGTTGTTTTAGGTAAAAATGTGGCTTTACAAGGGAGAGCTACACAGATTTCCCTTCATGGAAACGGCTTTGCATCCAATGCCATTGATGGGAACAAAGATGGTGTTTACGGTCATGGATCCTGTACCCACACTGTAAATGACCTCAATCCCTGGTGGAGACTGGACCTACTGAAAAGGCACAAAGTGTTTTCAGTAGTAATTACAAACACAGTAGACAGTGTTCCTGAAAGATTGAATGGGGCAGAAATCAGAATTGGAAACAGTCTGGACAACAACGGCAATAACAATCCAAGGTAAGTGAATTCAGCTCTAAATCTCTTTATTTTTCTTTAAATACATTTAGAATTTACTGTAGTATGCTAAAAGAGTAACATATAACTTGATTACAAATGGGTACAATATTGTGTGTGTATTATTTATTTATTTCATCACTTGTGTTTAATTACACTGACTTGCTACAGTGTAGCTGCTTTGTATGTGGATGGTATTTCAAAGTTTCTCAAGATGCTTACCTCTCCTTTTCTTCAGGTGTGCTGTGATCTCTTCCATTCATCCTGGTTTTTCCACTACCTTTGAATGTGATGGGATGGAAGGACATTACATTAATGTTGTTATTCCTGGACGGCAAGAATATCTTACACTGTGTGAGGTTGAAGTGTACGGATCACCACTGGATTGAGAAGCACTTAAAAAAATAACTGACCTGTAATTATTTTCACACTGCACATGAAGTAACTGGATTAAATAGCAGGATCTAAATAGGGGGAAAAAATACATATAGGATGTTGTAGGGCTTTACTTCAAACAGACATTTACTCCTTCAGTTTACCTCCAAATCAGTTCTGATGAAGAAACAAAGTCTTCTACATCTTGGATGGCCTGATGCCATCAAAGTTTTGAATTAAAAATTAAAAAATGTCAATTAAAAGTTAATTTTCAGTACATTTTCATTTTTGGGTGAACTATTCCTTTAAGCTTCAGTACTTAAATGCACTACATGTAGAGTATTGATCATTGGACACTGGCAAATGGTCAATATGGCAACACTATTTTCTGTAGTGTAATGCAGATGTAAATTGCATGTTGTAAATAAATAAAATGATGATTTTTAAGTCTATAGTCTTTGCATATTGTGTATGTAAAATAAGTCTTAATGAAAACAACGATGCTAATTAAAATGTTTTTCTGGACACAATAAGTGCAAAAGTCAGAGGGTAAATATATTTTAAACATCCCAGCAAAAACAACAGAGCTTTCTTTGCTTAATGTTAATGGGAAGGAATTATTAATTACTATGTTTTTCCCCTCACTTTACTGTTTACTAGTGTACTTGAAGTAAAATGAGATAAAAACCTAATGGGTGCTTTCCAATGAATTACACCCCCTGTGTTTGCTTCAAACCAAAACTGTAAGTATACAAATGTGGCATTTAAAAAACAAAACAAATAAATGAATAAATAATAAGTGATACTGATTTGCAGGAGCAATATGAAATTATGCAGTACTAAGACTTGCAATACTATGACTCAGACTGACCCTAGCTGAGGCTGGACCTGCTATTGTGCAAAGACACTTTTCGTCATGATGGTGATGTCAAATAAAACCATAATTGAGCACAAAATATAAGACAACACTTACACATGGCTGTAAACACAATTAAGTGCATATAAACTGTGTATATCACATTAAGTAGATTTCATGGTTTCAACATTGTTTGTAATTTGACATTCTGAATTGCTTTTTTTGAACCTATTGCTTTGCTTTGTTTTTCATGTATTTTTACAGAATGGACCTATATGGTTTCTCCTTGGTTTCATGCACTGCAATAAAACTTTATCTTTATTACTTAGCTGAATTGACTAAAAACAATTATAATCTGTTCTCTTTAAGTTTCTTCATGCAGAACAAATAAACCATATATATTACAGTTGTGATAAAGCACATTTATCTCAGATGACCTGTTTAGATAAAACATCCATGCTGTGTATTTATAGCTGGCCCTTTTATATTTTTTTGCTATGATGAACACTTTTTGCCCAGAGTGACCTTCATCTTGTCTATGAGAGAAAAATAAACTAATTTTGTAAATTATAAAATACAGGTGAGTGGCTTGTTTAAATTAATGTCAGTTATGTTTTCATGCTATCAATTTAATTCCATAATTGACTTAATTGCATATTGAATTCAGTTATAGGGTAAGAAAGTCCAATTATTCTGATAAATATTAAAACAAACCCACAAAGTAAATCCATTATAAAATCAGATTATGAACAAAACTGAGTGCTTATCAGATTTTTTAATAACCTTGATTATTTTACTTCTCACGTGTAGGATAATGGAAATACACGTTTTTCATACTTTGGATTTTTGTGATGCCTTATTTTACAGACTCAACTGCAGCTAAAGGTACGGTTCAAAATTACACAGATATTTTTAATTATAAAGAAACACTCAAAATACATTAGACACTGGTTGTAACATTTTACTGCAAATCACATTTTTATGAGAGCAAGTTGTCACCTATGAACTTTTTTTTTAACTGTTTATTGTTAATTTTTATGTTAAGTTTTATGAATTATTCATAATTTCTTAAAAATCTTTCTGAAAATGCCTTAATTAGCTTATAACAGCGATATGTTGTGAAAGATGGTTTTTATATTTCAAAAATACTCCGTAGAGGGGAATATTGTCCCAAAAGAACTGTCTTGAACAAGGTGTTTCTTCTTGGCAATAATGGTGGAAATGTACTTGTTGCCTTTTGTATAAACTTAGTATATATCTGTACAAAAATTTACTGGCAAGCAAGGAAACAAACAAACAAATAAATAAATCCCTGTGAAATAATCACTGTCAAAAGTTAAATATTATATTGTCAAATATATAAGCCTTTTTAATTTTGACTTATTCATATACTTGTTTTATAATACATACTGACTATAATGCTTTATCAATTTCAGCCAGAAATCTTGCTTTGTATGGCAAGGCCACACAATCAGACCTGGTCGAGAATCCTTGGTCAGCAGATGGCCTTGCCAGTAATGCTATTGATGGAAATCATGACTCACATTATGATCATGGATCCTGTACTGCTACTACAATGCAAAATGACCCATGGTGGAGGTTAGACTTACTAGACAAGTATGTAGTGACCTCCATAACCATCACCAACCGAAAAGACTGCTGTCCTGAAAGGCTTGATGGAGCTGAGATACACATTGGGAACTCTCTGCTGAACAACGGCAACAGCAATCCTTTGTAAGAAAACTACACTACAACTATTTTAAAAGAACAATGTGATGAGGTTACATACACACGATCACACACTGTTCATCTGCTGTTGTTTTAATACAGGGCTGGAAAGATTTCATCCATTCCAGGTGGGAGATCCCTCACTTTCAAATGGAAGAAAGGCATTCCAGGCCGTTACATCAATGTGGTCATACCTGGATCTAATCGACTTCTTACCCTCTGCGAGGTCGAAGTTTACGGTTATCCAGCTCCTGATGGTGAGAATATGAACATTTATGATGTGGATTTAAACAGTGACTCTGATAAAAGTAATTAATCAAAAGAGAGACAAAACAGCAGAAATTCAATAAAGCTATAATTTAGATTCAACAATGTTGTAGTCATATATTTCGTTCCTAGACTGAAGGACAAATTCTTTATTCAAAACCATGAATTCACTTGGAACTCATCTGTTGTTTTAGGTGAAAATGTGGCTTTAAACGGGAAAGCTACACAAAAAACCGTCCTTGAAAACGGTTTTGCATCCAATGCAAACAAAGTGTTTTCAGTAGTAATAACAAACAGAGAAGATAGCTTTTCTGAAAGATTAAATGGGGCAGAAATCAGAATTGGGAACAGTCTGGACAACAAAGGCAATAACAATCCCAGGTAAGTGATTTCAGCTTTAAATCTCTTTATGTAAGCAATAAGGTTTTTGTAGGCGTACTAATATTGTATATAATACAGCACGCCTCAAATACGTTATTGCTCTTCTTAAACAGTTACTAATTGTTACTTAAACAGCAAGAGAATACTCACATATACTTCATTAAATGAATAACAAACAGTTAATTTTGCTGAAATACATTATACATGGAACAGTTGTGACACTATATTATTGATTGTTTATGTTGCTAAGGTTGTTGCGCAGTGATACACAGAACAGTTGAGTGAAGCGGTCGTAGTCGTGCTTTATCGTGAATAAAACACAGCCGCTGACCAATCAGAACCGAGGACTAGAACTAACCATTTAATAATTTTCTTTTAATACATTGAGAATTTACTGCAGTAGGCTATGTGTTTTGCATTGGACATGGACGGTAGTTCAGAGTTTCTTAAGATGCTTACCTCAACTTTTCTTCAGGTGTGCTGTGATCTCTTCCATTCATCCTGGTTTTTCCTCCACCTTTGAATGTGATGGGATGGAAGGACGTTACATTAATGTTGTTATTCCTGGACGGCAAGAATATCTTACACTGTGTGAGGTTGAAGTGTACGGATCACCACTGGATTGAGAAGCACTTGCTTATTTTTTAAATGTAATAATTATTATTGAAAAGTATTAATGTAAGCTGTAATCAAAGTTTCAATACTGAATACCAAACAGAACTAGAGTATAAATTGTTATCTTAATCCTTGTTTTTTCTTGTTAGCTGTTATCACAATATTTGCTCTTCCAATTGATATTACGAGATACCAAAGAAAAAAATACACACACACAAAAAAAACAGATGTAAATGATTTTTATTCAAAGAAAACTTGACAATGGCCAATATGGGCCACACTTTTTGTAATGTAAGACAGCTGTAGGAAATGTAGAGAAATTATAGATTTTTTTTTTGTTCTTAAAGGGGGTATCTTGCAAAATGTAAAAATATGTAAAACAAGATGTGAACACTTCATTATAATAAAACTATTATAATACAACTCACTATAAACCTGTATCTAAATATATGTGTGTGTTCTAAAATAAAATAACTGCTTAGTTATTATTACAGTAACACAAAAATATAACACTATAAGTCAAGATCATCTATTTTTTTAAACAGATACTTTGCAGAGTTCTCAAAGTTTTAATGTATTAAATTCTATTCCACAATACAAACATGAGGGTGTAAAGATAGAGAAGAATGCTGCGTAGAAATACTAAGGCCCAGACTGACCCCTAGTGGAGAGTGGACCTTTAGAAAATGCCCCCCAATTTTTATTTATTTATTTCTTATTATGCTTGCATTTACAACAAACAAACAAGGTACAAAAACACATCACATAGTCTAACAACACGTGAACAGCCTTAGGTTGAGCATAACCAGTGACAAACAAGATCACAATAAACCAATAATAAAGAAGAAAAGAAAATAAATAAATAGAACAAATAAACAAAACAAACCAAAAGGGGCTTTTTACATTAGTTTATACATGCCCCAAAAACGAAATCAATTTGAGAGCTTTCTTGTTTTTAACCAATTCTAAAGATTTGCACAAAATTTTAACCTGAATTTATTGGTAGGATAAATCTCATTTAAAATTTTGAAGTTCACCTCCTTAACTTTAGGAGGAAGAGGAAAAGATATATAGCTTTTCCTAATTTTTTAAATTTCCATAATATCAAAATCTTTGAGCATGTATTCCCTTCTAATAGGGTTAGGATAATAAGCCTGTAAAATAAAATCTCTAATGACCCTATTTGTAAATTTTTTATCACAAAAATCATAACCTTCTAAGGAGAGCTGTCTCAGTTCTGGGGAGACTTTGGAGTACAAAATGTCTTCTTTAACTATTAATCTTACAGCAATTGGAATGGCTCTAATTATTCTATTATAAGTATTAACAGAACACTGCAGTTGGAATTTTTCACAGAATTCTCTATACAGTAACAAATTTCCATTATCATCCAAGAAATGGGCAATCGCCCAAATTCCTTTGGATTTCCATTCCTCAAAATATACTGACTTTCTGCCAATCTTTATATATCTATTATTCCAAACTGGAGTGTTGTGAGGTGTGAAGTTATGTTTGTACAATAATTTCCAATAGACCTTACAAGTACATGTACAGTAAATGAATGTACTTTCCAGAAGGCCAACAATTCACTAAAAATGTTTTTTTTTATTGGTCTTATGAAGTAAGATAGTGTTTGTTGAGATAGTGAATTGGTGGGTTTTTGTTAAATGTGAGCCAAAATCATCACAATTAAAAGAACCAAAGACTTAAACTACTTCAGTCTGTGTGCATTGAATTTATTTAATACACCAGTTTCACACTTTGAGTTGAATTACTGAAATAAATGAACTTTTCCACGACATTCTAATTTATTGAGATGCACCTGTAAATGTCTATTAATATGTAAGCTGTGCATTTTTGTAGCCTTCCCTTCACTAAACCGGTTTGTAATGACATGCATTTTTTCTCGATGGCCGCTAGGGGACGTACAATCTTTTCCTATGACAATGAAACCGCAACCAGCATATTTTTATTTATTTATTTTTTATTATGCTTCCATTTACAACAAACAAACAAGGTACATAAACACATCACATAATCTCACAACACGTCACGGCCTTAGGTTGAGCATAACCAGTGATAAACAAGATCACAATAAACCAATAATAAAGAAGAAAAGAAAAGAAATAAATAGAACAAATAAACAAAACAAACCAAAAGGGGCTTTTTACATTAGTTTATACATGCCCCAAAAACGAAATCAATTTGAGAGCTTTCTTGTTTTTAACCAATTCTAAAGATTTGCACAAAATTTTAACCTCATTCATCCACTGGTTAAAGTTGGGTTTAGAAAATGCCCCCCAATAACCAAGACCAAGAGATGATTGATGGAGCTCAACAACCCACTGGAATATGTTATCATTTGTGCTCACCTGATAAACTGTGATGCTCCACTGATGAACTGAAACTCATATAATGCTATGGATATAGGCTATTCTCTGTATTCAGTGTTTTAATTCGATTTCACCAGACTCTCCATCTTCTGCTCTTTTTCTAAACAGAAAAAACACAAAGAGTGTTTGTTTGCTAAGATATGACAAAGGGCAGCAGTCAGAATTTTGTTATTCTAGCGCTATTCATATTGACTCTAAAAGCCATTATATTATTATGTTATTTAGCTTCATTAAAACTCTGAATTTCTCAAAACGATTATGTTTTCTTACTCAGCTTTTAAAGGATTCCCAGCATTCCAGGTCATCGACGATCGTAAAACGCCGTGTAGAACACTCATCATTGCCACTCAGATGGCTTAATAAAATTATAGTTAGACATATTTTGTTTCTCCCTTCAGTAACTATCCACAGCACACTATGAACAAATAAGTCAATTTCCTTGTGGTAATTAATTATCTTTTCTTAGAAATAATAATGAGAATACAATAGTCTAAATAATAGCTACTGAGGTTCAGTTCATTCATCCAAAGACTACATATCCCAGAATGCATTGTTCCGTGTACCGATGAACCCTCATTCTCGCAATCTTTTGCTTTTGCCGAACACGTTTCGCTTCAAGACACGTAAGGTAAATGTAAACATGGGTGTACTGTAAATTCAACAGCAGCTAATTTTACGATTGCTCGTCTGCTCTTTGAGATACAACAAAACTTCGTCTTTTAACCAGAGCCGGACAGTAACTAAGTACATTTACTTGAGTATTGTACTTAAGTACACTTTTTGAGTATCTGTACTTTACTTGAGTATTATTTTTTCTGGGAACTGATGACTTTAACTTCACTACATTTGAAAGACAAATATTGTACTTTTCACTCCACTACATTTCTATCAAGATCCTCGAAGTAGAAAGTCGTTAGCAACTTTGAAAGTCAGTGGGTGATTTCTTTCTTCTCTAAAAACTGTATTTTTTTCAGACAGTTTATCAGTAATCACTCTTGGGGCTACAGTATTAGTTATCTGTTTTAGTTTTAGTTACAGTTGTAGTAATGTTGTCATTTTATTAGTGTTTTTTATGTCTATATAGGTTTTTTATTAAGTTTTAGTTGTTTAATTTGAGTTATTTCAGTACTTCAACATACAAAATGGAAATGAAATAATATATATATATATTTAATGTATTTATATATATGTACATGTATATGTATGTGTGTGTGGCTGTACATACACATATGTAGTTGTTTTTTGGTGTTTGGCTTAGTGTTATGTTAGAATCATTATTATACTCATACCTTTTGTTCTTTTAATATTTTTGAATTGTTTTTAGCTTTATTTTTTTTGTTTTCATTTAAATGTTTTAGTTTTGAAATGTTGTATGCGTTTGTCATTTTTATTTAATTTCTTTTATTTTCTTAAAAGCTTTTAGCTTTTCGTTTTAATTACTTTTTCTTATTTGTGTATGTTTGAATTGTTTTTAGCTTTATTTTTTTTTTGTTTTCATTTAAATGTTTTAGTTTTGAAGTGTTGTTGTATGCATTTGTCATTTTTATTTAATTTCTTTTATTTTCTTAAATGTGTGTATATATATATAGTATTTATAGATTTTTAGCATTTAGTTTTAATTACTTTTTCTTATTTGTAAGTCGCTTTGGATAAAAGCGTCTGCTAAATGACTAAAAGTAAAAGTAAAGTAAGGTGGAATTGAAAACTTTAAAAAAAACAAAAAACTTTTTGTACGTTGCTCGGGCTGAAATTGAAGGTAAACAGTGGAGTGATTATTACATTTATTAACGGCGAATTCCAAACAGCTTTTTTGTGGCCTTGAAGGGCACTTTGGGAAGGGGACGCCATTTGTCGAAGGGCCCTTCCAGAAGTCCCTTAGCGAAGGGAACATGCGGAAGTGATTCACGGAAGTGATTTCCGTTTGTGATCATGTGATCTTCGGTTAGAAGATTTTGCGATGCTTTTTAAAGCAAAGTAGGGGTTGATTTCGAGTTCACATACAAACGTAAGTAGAATAGGCTAATTAAATTTGTCTATTTTAATGTAAGACAACATATTTTTGTCAGTGATAGAAATATGATTTATTTAATAAATCATAATGCAAGCAAGTTTAGTTTGAAAAAGTTAAAAAGTAAATAAGACACATTTAGACAATATTTGAATAAAATAATAATAATAAGAAATATTTATTTGCAACAACTGATGGGAGTGCTGAATGCTGCATGCAGGCGTAGTGTTGTCAAGGTAACATTTGGTCAGTCATTCCCTTCATAGATATATATACGTAGATGCCTCATTACTAATGAGTCATTAGCGACTGTTTCTATGGGCCGCTATATGTAAGCCGTCCGCCATATTGTAACGGTCAACTTGACGTCATTCACCATAGTTATCAGTGAATATTCGAAAGATGCCACAGTCCTGCACAGAACAGCTCAACGGCTCTGTGAGAACCTACAGTATGGTGAATGACGTCAAGTTGACCGTTCCAAGATGGCGGCCGCATCTACGTGCCTGGAGCCGTCGAATGGGGAATCTATACATATCTATGATTCCCTTAGCCAAGGAAGTTCAAAACGCTTAAATGAGGCAGTAATGCCCTACACCCTTCCAAGAACA